CCACTCTCTCATAATCATATCGTAGTTGTGGAAAGTAAAACCTTGACAATTATTGTTATTGTGCTTATACATACCAGAAGCCGGTGCTTTTCCAGAAAGGTTTCAGCACACCAAGAACGTCCGAAGCGTTCAGAAAAACTTGGAAGCTTTTCGTAGTCGACTGCTCTGGCGCGTTGAGCCTTCTCACGTACAGTATGTCGGAGTCCAAGCAGGTCGATTCGGCTGCGATGGCCCGGCCGATGAGCAAAACAACCACCACCGCGAGCATTTCGACACACTCTGTGCATACAAGTACGCGCTCTGGGCCGGAAACACCAGGCCCACAACGAACGCGGCCGGTTATCAGGGCAGACAAACAGATCCAATGCACGCTATCACGGTCGAGAGGAAAAGTGGCAACTCTCCCATTACATGCCTCTCTATCGGGATGTGAGCACAAGACCGTCAATATCGTGGAGCGCCTCTTATTACTCGAGTACCTGAGCATTTCCACGAGGGATATCAGGGAACCTAGTTTTTGTAAAGGTGCCCCTTTTTCGAAGCGAGCGATACTCGCTTGTAAACATTCTGATGATCCACGTATACTCAAGTCCGCCGCGCCGGTTGCGGAGCTCGACCAGGCAGCGGTGACCTTCCGGTGGAGGCGAAATGTCCTGGTCCCGTGTGCTGTACGATGTCTGCGTATACGTAACGAACACCAGACGGTCGACATTTCCGGAGCCCTCCACTATACGACATTCCTCATAATCATATCGCGGTTTTGGGTTGTCAACCCCCCCCCCCCCCATATTATAATCATATCAAGGTTTTGGCACAGTTAACCAAAGACATCTCAGATATAAACGCTTAAAACTTTCACGCGCTCACTATCGCACTCCAGCCGCGTATCTCATATCTCATCGATATATGATACTCTATGCGCTATTTAGAAGCCGTGGGACGACTATTGATTGTTTCATGGATGTCATATATGCACTCAAGATCGAAATACACACCCGGAAAAAAATGAATTTTTGTCTTCAGGCATCTGGCGGCGCATTTTGGTGTATTCATGCACGGTCGTTATCGCAAACATAACATTCGGCCTTTGCTTTAAAAAAAAAAAAGCGTCCGGGCAAAATCCATGGAAATGGGTCCACTGCCCAAAGCATGAAACGTGACGACAAGAACGAACAAAAAACGCGCAATATGCCACGATAAGGGCCAAACCTCATAAGCGCGAAAATGCACGCGACAGCGACGAGCGACGCGACGTAGATCGTCTTCGCGCGATGAGTCGCTAGCGCAGGCAAACCTCATTCACGCGACGGCTTCGGCGAGCGAACTTCACTATTGCTGGCATGAGGCCGTCTACTCGCACCAAGAAAACCGCGTAGGGAGCGGTATGCAATTTAAAAATACGATATATTGTTGTGTAATGGAACGGAAAGTGTTTATGAATGCCTTGCAGCACTTTTTTATATGCACATGCGTAAACATTGCGTCATTTCTTGTTGCGCATACGTGACTCAGGCAAGGTCACGTGCATCTATGCAGTCTTTGTCTTTTCCGGTTTTTCGCTATTGGCTGCTTGAGCCCAACACTTCCGGGCGATGAGCGATGGTTTCCAAAGCTGGAGAACCGAGCGATCGCGCGAAAACGAGCACGCGACACGTCGCACGAACGCCCTGTTTCGTCGCTCATGGCATCGCTCATCGCTTTCGCGTGCATTTTCGCGCTTATGAGGTTTGCTCTTAAGGGCACCCGTAACAAGCGACGCAAATACGTCCCTCGGTGCCACAAGCAACTACACTGAATGCCATATCTTGGCTTCTCAAACCGACGGATGTAGACATCGTTCAGGGCGTGCACTTCTGCTTCGGCCGTAATCTACCGTGACCATAGCAGTAGCACAGAGCTGATACAACTGTGATTATGCGCAAGCTCGCACCGATACCTTGCGCACAATCGACATACTCCTTAATAGCTGTTTATAGTGCAGCAGTTCAAGAACGCTACAAAATGTGTTCAGTCATTTCAACAGGATCACTACACATCTCGCAACTCGTGGGACTACCCCGCACTGAGGTTAGTGTCCTGCAGTTCACACTTTCAGTTCAGCTGCATCTGGCCACCACGCTACGAGATGAGTTGGCTTCAACCACTTCAAGGTTGCAAAAAAGTCAGTCAGCCGCGTGGCTAACAGCAGTCACCAGTGCTTGCCAGCAAAAGGTGTGTGACCTCAAAAATCAATGCGAGAAATATGACTTCACAAAATAATATTAATAATAAATAATATTATATTATTCGTCGAGTAGTTCCAGTGTCCTTAATCAGTAACGTCTGGAAAGTAAGCTGCCCTTGTTGTGTGAGCACCTATTCCTGGAGTTGGAAAATCCAGCTTCTTGTTTCATGCCGCAGCCTATTATTTGATGGGAAAAAATGTATAGCTTCACTTACACATATATGTGTTTTAGCTTCAACTTGTACATTTTACTCTACTTCCAAGTTTCCGAGATAGCCAAATACTGCGAGAAACTGTTTCTCGCTAAAACATGAATGAAATGAATTTTGGTATAGTGAATTTTTCAACGCACTTGTCCTTTTGTCGTCGTTCTGATCTTGCGCTATAACATTCGACATGCTGTATCTATTCGCCCCCTTCACCGCTCCCCTCAGCATGTCCCGCATTTAGCTTTTAGTCATGGTGAAGTGAGCGTTGAAGTGTAAAGAGCTATATGGGCAGTCTGAGTCGCAGCGCGAACATGCATATGCACCAAACGCACCATTATTCAGACTTCGCAGATATGTAATTATGCAAACTAATTACTTTGGTGTTTTGAGTAATGTGATGAATTATTTTGACGGATGGTAATTTAGTCATAAAACAAACTACTTCAAGAAAGTAGGTTAAAAAGTTACGCGTTACTTTCTGAGTCACCTCTAGCTGAAATATAGCCCGGCAACTTCCCTTATAGCATAATAAATTGAGCCCCCACCCCCCAAACACGACAGAAAAAAAATAAAGAAGGCAAGTTAATCTGGGTGCCAAACCAATGAGGCAGGCATACAGAAAAGCTGCGGAGTGTGCTAATTCAAAACTTTGAAGAATGTTGCTGAAAGACCACGGCTCTCGAAAGTCCAGACAAGATGGGTCGACGACGGCTCCATGCTAGCTTGGCAACGGAATGCAGAGGTTCTAAATGCAATTGATAACCATGCCCACTCGTGAGAGATGGGTCTTTTATTTAGACAAAACGACGATATCTCTCTGGACTCTAGAGGTGATGGGGTTAAAAAGAAAATGATGCCTAGGTTCTTGGTCTCCTTTTTTTTAAAACACTACAGATCTGCTAATGCTTTGACAGTCAGGTAACTGTCTTCTTCACAAACGAAGTCCACTTGGATCAGAAGAAACGCCAGGCCTGCGCAAAACACGCAGAATTAACACAGGGGGCATATACGGACAGCACGGGAAAGGGGCTGCTGGGGGGCTCGGGGCCGCCTTCGGGCTACTTCATGGGGGCGGAGCGCCCACGTTGGCGCTGGCCTGGGATGTTTTTAAAGAGCTTTGCCCAGGCTCTCATTCGTTGCCAATGGACTGTTGGCCATCCTGTCTTGCAGTTATTTCATAGGAGACTGTTCAAGCCAACACATTTTCCTTTAAGGCTTGTAAAATTCCGATCATGAGTCAGTGACAAGGTGTCTGGCGCCGTGTTCGTATTGAGAACGAAGTAGCAGAATGACACAAATTGCGATAATCGCACAGCTCTAGTGCAAAGTATTACTTCATGTACTCATCAAGAACATAAGTTCTTTTTATGTCACAGACGTTTTCTTACTGTAAATGAAGTAAAAAAAGTGGGTGAATAGATGGCTTGCCATGGGCAGATGATATATATATATATATATATATATATATATATATATATATATATATATATATATATATATTATATATATATATATATATATATATATATGTGTGTGTGTGTATGTATATGAAAGTAGATGCGCTTTCACATAACAACTGTTTATTGTGCCGACGTTTCGACGGGAACCCCGTCTTTTCAAGGCCTTGAAAAAGACGGGGTTCCCGTCGAAACGTCGGCACAATAAACAGTTATGTGAAAGCGCATCTACTTTCATATTTATAACCTTGCGGCAACCGAAGTTATTCTTCTGCATATAAGCCTTATATATATATATATATATATATATATATATATATATATATATATATATATATATATATATATATATATATATATATGAGACGCTATGATGAATAGGAGACGTGGCCTGGCTCATACGCCATGTTTATTCCATTCTCACTTCTTCCTTCTCGGCTTCTACTTCTAACTCCTAACCATCCCTACCTTCTTACGTTACAGGACTCCCCCTCCCCCCCGAAAGAAGTCGCGTCAGACACTTAACAAAACAACAAAAACGGGTGTTATAGCGAGCGAACAATGTCAAAATGCACCATAGTTCCATTTCAGAAGGGAGTTCCTTAACTCGGTCAAAACATCTACAGCAGAGGGAAGCAGTCCAGCCATATCTAAGAGAACTCGTGTGGACGAGGCTGGCTGTTGCGTCCTACATGGCATAACCCCGCCCTGCACATCTGCACTGAGGATGACACGACTTGAGGCCTTGTGAGGAACGAACAAGGCTTGAAATCTGTGTAGGATTGGATTGACTGATGTCTTTGGCATCGAATCCAGTGCCGTTGTGGCAATAGGCGCTTTGCTTCTAGTCGGCGTGTGTGAGAGCCAAGGCTGATGGGAGGAAGTCTTTTTTTCTCCGTTGTATACGTGGTAGCTTCATGCCTTTTTCGTAACTTTCTGTGGCGTTCTCTCGGTTCGTTGGATCGCATACACGGCCTTGAGAACTGGTGCAGACATTTTTTTTCGACGTTGCTTTCTGCGATGATGGCTTAGGCATTGACTTTGTCTTTGCTTCTTTAATTGCTGTTGTCTCGACCTTTAAGCCACAAGTGTACTCGTGAAAAGGTTTCACTTGATCGTTGTTCTTGTTCGAGTAGCCGTTGTACTTCCTGGAGTTCGTGGAGTTGCCTTTTTTGAAATTGCTCGTTTTGTTGCGAAAGTTGGTCAGATGGGCATCTCTCAGGAACATGAGTCTGCTTTTCTTTGCATGGTGATGTGATAAGTAGATAGTCGGTGGTCGATACTGCACTGCAGGGCTTTTTCTTGAGATAAAATCAGTGTGACAGACTGATGGGAAAGCTTCCCAGATGGTTGTGTGTCATCATTCATTGTAAATGTTTCTGTGAGTTCACAATGTGCCTGCTTTGGTGGATTCGAAACCGCTGTAGTGCCTCGA